GATCTTCAACTCTAATTTGTGCGATTAGGTAAAATCTCTAGTGGTATCATTTAGGTTTAAGGATCTAGGTTACTAGTGAAAACTCTCGAGGTATAAGATGTGTTTTCTCTCTTAAAAATCTCATAAGAGGCTTAACTTAAATATGAGAAATGTTTTCTTTATTTATATGTCCAAAATAAGGGTAATCTTAATAAATAAGAAAATTCAAATTCGCAAATAATCGCTCGATCAGAGGGAGGACAATCATAGGATGGTTGACACTAGAATGAAAACTATGTTTCAAACCTGTCAAGGACCAGCATCGCTCGAACAACCATGAGCATCGCTCAAGCGAGCTCTGTGTTGTTTTCCTGTGGTCTTTCCCTTCTAATTCCCTAAGTCATCAAAAGACCAACATACACAAGGTTAGTGAGCATAGCTCGATCCCTCCTGATTTTTGAAACACTAAACCAAGCAAAAACTAATCATCTAAAGCGTTAAAGGGTGTTGATCAAAGAAGAGTCTAATTTATTACTCAATCTATGAGCACTAAAGGGTTTAGAAATTTTTTTTAAATCACCTAGGAGTTATAGTTGGATTGCTTCTAATTCCAATTTCATTCTAATTAATCTACGTTAAGAATAATTAAGGGTTCATCTTAAATGTCTAGGTCATTACTTTGTCCTAAGTATGAAGGTGCATACGGAGGTTGAATAATTCTTTTGAATATTAAATTTGATAGCATCATGACCATGAAAAATAATAAAATTTATAATGGATTCCACGAAATTAATCAATTACAAACGTGATATAACAGAACCTTTTATAAATGCTATATTTTATAGATTGAAGCTTTTATAATTCTATATTTTACAAAAATTATGCAATTAATTGAGTGCATATTATTTGAGCAGATTATTGGGATGTTGTTGATGCTAGAAATTTGTAAGCTTGAATCTAGATGTATGGTGGTTTTTTATGATTCATAAGATGTTGTTGAGTTTATTGCCTTATGTATCTTAGATTATAGTTTTTTTTTAAAGTGAAAAAAATAGTTTATAGTTATACTTTAAAGATGGTGTGCTGTAGGGTTTAATTAATTGTGAATTTTTTATTTTTCTCTACTTAACTTTACATTTTTAATACTATTTTTGAAATTATTGTGATTTTTTAATCTATTTATTATTTTTTTTAATTATCTAATCGATCCGACCAATGACCCAATTGTTAAATTAGTGATCCACTAATCCCTTGTCGGATTAATATTCGGGCCGAGTTTTAAAACTATGGTTTTAACCCATATCTAGGAATATGTTATTTTAAAATACAATGAATGTGTTGATCACGTTTACGATTCATATATTTTTAGCTAAACTACTATATTTTATACTACTATTATATAATCGTTCCAACTAGTTGACCTAATGATTAAACCATTGATCGATCGACTCGGTCCCTCTGCAGTTCAACGTTCGATCTATTCTAATGACTATGCTACTCTATATCATTTTTTTATCGCCCCTCAACTCCCCAATAATTAACCGCTACTTTTCAAAATTTATTTAAAAAAATTATTTTTTACCATCTAAACTTTCTACAACTGTTTATCTAATTTCTCAAATGATAGGTTGAAAAAGAAGAGGGATAAATAATTAACCAATATTTTTTAAAATTTATTCAAAAAAATTAGTAAAAATTGAAGCTGAGTTCTCGTAGATAGAAATGTCAATAGATCGAAGTGGGGACGGGGGGTATATAGTTTTCATCCTTGTACCCGCTTAAAAAATCTTCGTTCATCTCCGATCCACCCCCGCTAACAGGTATAACTTTATCTCCATCCTCGTCCATGGGTAAATTTATAATCCCCGCTCCTGTCTCCACTTCCCCCCTATCTGCCCAAGCCCAAACATAAGCCCAAGTCCAAGCATAAGCCTAAGCCCAAGTTCAAGTCAACATAATCCAAAATTTTAAAGAAATCCAACATTTTAAATAATTTAACAACATTTTAAATAAAATCATCACGCTCAATGTAAAATTTCAAGATTCCATAATCATCAAAAAAGTAAACTTTACCTAAACACGTAACTTAAGAACTATATGTTAAATTAAAACTGTTTGAATCTTCGGATTTAGTGAAAACAATAGTGCTAATTCAACTCTTTTTACAAAATTAATGGTCATCTCTAATTCATTCATTCGGTGTCATTTTTAAGTTGTATTTTCTTGTCTTGTCAAAAATTATCACCCCTAATAGTTAACACCATCTATAAAGAAAAACAATCAGATCAAAACTAATTCAAGTTGAAAGTGGAAAATAGTTTGTCTTGTTCCGAAAAAAGACACCATGCATTTGGGTAGACCACAAATATTCAATAATGCATAAATTAAGATTCAAACTAAGGATATGATCCAATCTTATGCAAGACCATTAGCCGTCACAGTCAACTACGTATGGAGAGCAACCAAAGGATGTTTAGAAGCCAATTTATTGACAAAACCACGCTGGAACTCTTCATTACTCAGACCATTAGAGATCAAAAAGAAGTCGGCATCACTCTGCAATTTATTAGCATCATAGAAACATGATAAAATCAAGTAAACAAGAAAAGAAGATGAAGGTGAAGGCTAAAGGCGAAGGCTGATCGCTGAGAGAGAGATAGAGGAAGAGGTGGGCGGCTGACTTAAGGCCGAGTGAGGAACAACAGAGTAAATTAGGGCTTTAAGAGTATATATATATATATATATTTATTTATTTAACGGGTAACAGGGACAGAGACGAGAACGGGAACAGGGACGAGGTGAGGGTAAAGGTAAGTTCATCCCCGCACGGGTTTATACAAGTATTTTTATATACGTCCACCGTCCAATACATATAGTCCATATCCGGTCCAAACGGAGTAGGTTTGAACGAATACCCATTTTTCTCTGGTCCACTACCATCCCTACTCCTAGATAGACTTATAATAACTTGAGTCCCGTCAAGAAAACTTATTTGGGGATAAATCTGTTATTAATCTTATTAGTAAAAAAATTAAGTCCACTTTTTTTAATCTCAAAAATACCCTTCTCTAAAAGCAAATTAAATTAATTTTTTATTTTAAAAATTATTATCTCTTAATTCAATGTCAGTGGAAATATGTCAATAAAATCTCCATCATAAATTTAAAATTTAAATTCAAATCTCTCTCTATCTCCTGCCAGCAAACGCCTCAAGTCCCACACCCATCACCAGAAAGCCACAGTTCATCATCTGAAACTCTATTTTTAATTCGTGACACTATTTCCTCAGAGCACCAGATGGAGGAGGAAAGCATAAAATGCAAAGACTCCCCCAAACCCAATGACCAGTCATCACCAACCATCCAAGCCCTTAACTTATCTGGATAACTTGCTTGATTCTATATTTTAATCATTTTGTATATGCATTCTCTCTTCAAATTTCTCTATATATATTCATGTTTCTTCTTAGATCTCTCCATGTATTGTAAGTCTATAACGAACACCGTCGCTTGAGTTCTACACTTTTCTGTTCGTAAACTTTTTTTTTCCTCCATTCTTCACTGATCTCCCTTTCCTTCCTTATTCGTGTCATATATAGAAAGAAATTCCGGAGATATTTTCTGTCCATTATATGTTACTTTTTTTTAAGTAAATATTCCTATTATGTCATGTTACTATTTTTTTTAATCGACCATATTACTATTTCTTTTCATATTATTATTTTTTATTGAACATGTTATTATTTTTTTAATTTTACTTTTTTGATGTTGAAGAATTTGAGATTTCTTCTTCTGATTATGGGTTTGAATACTATTATTTTTATTTTTATTTTTGTTCAATATTCTATATTGCTATTTTTTTTTTGTTAAACATGTTACTATTTTTATTGATCATGTTAGTATTGTTATTTTTTAAAAATATTAATATTGAATGTTACTATTTTTTTGTTTTTAAATAAAATTATTTTTTGTATTTAAATGATAACTTTTTTTTTGTATTTGAATGTCCTAACTTATATATGAATATAGATAGATATGAAAGAAAAAAATTTAATATTAGTCAAACTCCTAAAATATAAGAGTTTTTAATTTTTAATTTTATTTTAAGAGAAATGTTAGTCCAGTAAAATTGAAAAAAAACAAATTTCATAACAAATAAATATCCTTCACGGATTTAAATCCAAACAAGTTCGTTCATATAAGAAGACCGGCCTCCAAATTTTTCAAAAATTTATTTTCTAATCGCCCAAAAACTTTCTTATTGTGCATCACACAAAGCCTATCAGAATGGTACAAACAATTGAATAAAATCCACTAGGTTCTAACTTATTAAACCAAGCCAAGGTGGATCGATAAACCACCCTCATGCCCAACTTAGCATATACTTTTGGATTTGCACCAACTTTTAAGGATGAAAAAGGATATCAATTTGCCATGCACAATAAACTATTTCTAGGATTCAGATACCATTTGCATTAATTAAAATTGAACAAAAATATAAGGATAGTATCTAAATACCCATTTTCATGGGTTTTCAATATGCAATAAGTTTTTAATTTGTCAGGCACTACTACAAGAAAGTAGAACGCCGAGATTCAGAACCATGAACCTTCAGATCCGACACTGAGACTCAGACCCATGAACCTTAAAATCAAACAGCAGGCGGTTGGCTAATAGATCTTGACTCAACATGTGCTGTTGTTCAACTAAGGGAAACAATTCAAGGCTGGTGCAAAACCAGTAAAACATTTTTAAACTGTCACCAGCACATGCAAAAGACATCAGGCAAAACTCTTTTTTTTTCAAAACAGCCCATCATCTTTCTCTTGTGAATCATCGTCAAGGCACCAAGTCAAAAAACACAGATTATATTTCACTGCTAACGTGAGTTACTTAAGAAAAACCCCCTAATGGCAGATGCCCATTAACTGTCAAGAATTGCCTTAACATCTACTAGTCATTTACAAGCTAGACCAATCAAAACTTCTAGTAGAACAAGATAGAGATACTTGAATGTCATACATTTTGGATCCACTCTGCAATGGAATGAGTCGTGTAGATCCACTTTGTAGTTTTCACATCATATATTGCTTTTCAATATACAAAAACAAGCAAAAGAATCAATGGCTCAGAATAAACAAACAAGCACCATAATATCCTGAAAAAGAGAAACCAGCACCACAAAATGCCAAACCGAATACAAACCAACAAAAGTCGACGAAATTCCATCAGTGATATAACCCCTCACAGAGATTCCATGAAGGTTAACCCCACAAACTGGGAATCTACATCACCCAGTGCCACTGACGCTGATATCAACAAAATATAATGTTCAACACCGAAAATTCTCAATAGTTAAAAAGAGTATTATGTAAGCAGTACAATATGAAAATACTTCCACAAAATACCCAAACAACTATTTTGAAACACAAACCATAGTGTATTATCTAATGGATTCATTTCTAGATGAAATGAAAGTAAGTACGAGAGAGAGATTTGGAGAGGCGACAATTTTCACTTAGCAGTTATATTTTGCTGAGCCTGGTTCTCCTGTTGCTGCTGCTGATAGTTGAGAGGCCTCCTGAAGAGCATGATGTGAGGCTCTGGTCGGTGGATCGCGTAGTGGACCCACCCTCGGCTCTGCTGGACTCCAATTGCACGCCATTCATTCTAATCAAGAAAATTCAACAAACAAGAAATCCATGGACTTTGAGAACCATACAAAAGGGTTACCTCCATTAAAACATTTCGAAAGAAAGAAAAACTTGTATCTCTGTTGGGTAACCAAGAAACATAAAGAAATACAGATAATTGAGAAAGTTTAGATACTTAAAATTGCGAATTTTGTGGATGCCAAGTTAATTGTACGAAAACCCCAATTTCTTTTCGATTCAATCCTTTTTCTAAGGAACCAAACAAAAAACTCGTTCAAGTAAAATAAAGAAATCAAGCAAAACCACGGACTAAAACCCTAATTAAAGGTGGTCAAGTCAAAACTCACTTCGGAGAGAAGCCGATTCTTTGGAAGCAATTTGGCCACTTCAGGAGGGAGAACCACATGCCTGAGATATCAAAACAATCACCAAAACCACGTCAGTTACAAAACAAACTCAATTATCCAAGAATGTGCGAAATTGAGAGAAAATAGTAAAAAAAAATCAGTCACCTGTACTCGTAAGTATCATCAAAGTACTTCTCAGAATACTGGATCTGACCCATTTCTCACTGTTCTGTTTCGATTCACAATCACAGAGAGAGAGAGAGAGAGAGAGAGAGAGAGAGAGAGAGAGAGAGAGAGAGAGAGAGAGTGGCGAGAAGTTGAGTGTGGATGCAATAGGCCGACGGAAAGGCGTAATAAGAGGGGAGAGACTACAGAGTGTTGAGGGCAGAAAAGGAAATACATTTTCTTAATATGATTTTTATTTGTGGAATTAAAAAAGGAAATAGAAAAATTAGTAGTGAACGGTTTGAATTTCAAATTTTGAAAATTTTGCCGCTTTATCTTCCTTTGCACTTACTTAGTAATGGGTGCTATATTACCGTTAATCAACACTTGTTTTGAATCTTTCACCATATAGGTTTAATCTAGACTACTCCTTTGTACTTATGTTTTTGAATCTCTCACCATATAGGTATGCTATTCACAAATTTTAATTAAGCATTCTTACTAGTTTGGACGAAATAAATAATTTCGCATTTATTTAATTTATTTATCTAGAAAAAAAAATAATTTCAACAATGGAGTCATATATCAAGGGTGTATTTAATCACCTTAATGGTGACCAAAATACAAAATTAACATTTTCTATTGCATACATCACACACAACACCTAAGAGCAACTCCAATCATACTCAATAAATGACTAGACAAATTATATTTAAATATTGTATTCTTTATTTTAGTTGACTAATTCAACTAATTTTTAATAATATAATTTAAAAATTCAACTCAAAACATGTATAATCATCAACCTAATCAAAATCATACCATAATAATAATTTTAATCAAACTTTAAATAATACAATTTAACACTCATCCACTTTAAATAACAAAAATCAATCGCACAATACGTCTCATAAATCTAAGATTTTTCGAAATATTTACATTAATATTTCATATGGTCTAAATGTAAATATTCTATTATACATAAAACTAAGGGAGTTTTTAAAATTTTAGGCGGGGTTTCAGAATTTTTTTTTTTTTTTTAGGGGGGGGGGGGCAGGGGTTCAGTAATAATAGCCGAAGGCAACGAGTAATCCATATTCCAGGGGGGGCAGGGGTTCAGTAATAATAGCCGAAGGCAACGAGTAATCCATATTCCAGGCAGAAGAGCAAGAGAAGGGAGAGATCAGAGGAAAGTCCTAAATTTCTTCACAAGGATCAACAAGAAGGATCAAGGCAGAAGCAGAGGAACGAGAGGAGGAGGAGATGAATACCTAATTCACAGCAAATCTGGCGAGCAAATTTATCCTCTCCAGATCTGGCGAGCAATTTGACTTCCTAGATTTTGGCCAAGTGGATAGTTAAGGCGTTGGAGCTAAATTTTTTAGGGTTACTCACCAAAATAGCTAAAAGGAAGGAGTAGCGAGGGGCGTTGAAAATGCTCCAAGTCTCTGTATTTAATTAAATGGAATCCCAAAATACATTATCCTCAAACTCAGCTATTTGTTTGGATATATATAGAATTGAGAATTTTGTGCCGGTGCTCAACCCAAGTACCAATAATGTGTCAACTTCTATGTAGTCGTTCACACATACACACAAGATTTTTCCCCAGTCAGTTAATTTAGGAATCCAAAACATAAATAACAAGCAATTCCTGTCTAGGTTAAAGAGGAAACTATCCCAAAGACCTTAAAATAAATTTCAAGCCCCAACTCTAAGTAACCCGATGAATCTAATCCCAGCAATCTAAGGATCAACACATACTACTATAGATTTGTTGCTTATTTATTTTTATAACGATATATATCCCGACGTCTTTTTGGATGGCGCGTGTCTACTTTACGTCTCTACTTTTTAAGTATTCAGATAAAACTTTGTAATTCAGAACTCCATGCAATTATAGAATCACAAAAGAACACAACTCTAACAAGTAATGGGACCCTACTCAAAATACAATGATATCGCATTGATTCCTAGTTCTGAGGTATATATATATATATAGACAGAAACCTTCAAGAAATTTTTCTCTCAAATGAACAATGGCACCTATTCATGCAGCCATGTAAGGAAAATTTGCCATAATTTCTATTTGCCGCCAAAAAAATGTCAGCTTGCAAGGTGGTGAAGGAATCCATCAACCCTATCTGTACATATCAAAAACAAAACTTGGACCCTGTAAGCTATCACCTCAAAGGCATGGCATGAAGTCGGCTACTAGCTTCAAAAAGTTGCCACACAAAACCATCCATTGATTCAGTGCTACATCAGGACCTGGAGACTGACTTATGCAGCATTGATGTCCCTTGAAAGACCATCATCTGGTAATCTCTCCTATATTGCTTCAGCTGGAGGGAAAAGATCACATGCATAAACAATATATTCAGGTGCCCCAAAAGGAAACACACAAATAAATGCACACGCACCTGGTCTTCAGTAATCTTCTTGAAACCAAACTTTTTTATCCATATGGATTCTGCTTCATCAGCAGCCGGAAGCACAAGGTTTCTCACATTAAGAGAGTCAAGAAGGTTTTCAATGCAAAAGAATAACAACTGGAAATAACCCTGCAACGGATATTTTCCTAGAATCAGTATAGCTGCAACATTCATTAAAAACATAACCAGCTTCAGTTGTTGGTATATTGCAGTTGGTGCAGTTATGCTTAAATGGTTTTTTTTTTTTTTTGGGAAATACGGAACTATATGAATAATGGAGAAATTCCATGAAAGAAATATTAATGATTCATATAAATTACTTAGGGGGAAATGTCCCGAATAAATCCAATGAGTGACTAATAATCCTGTGATACAGAAAAAAGTAGTCCCCTGAGAGAGAGGGGGGTTGAATGGGGGAAGGGGTGAAGGAGCAAGAAAAGAGGTTATCAGACCACCACTCAATATGCTCACCTGTCCTTGACTATCATTACTTGTTGCAACCAGAGGAAGTTCTGCCACTACGCTTCCAAAAATACGAATAACCCCAGATGACACAACCGATGAGCTGCATATTGGACATCAATTTGATTCAGTTCTGAATTCATATGCAAAAAGAAGCTATGTGATGCATTGAAAATCAATTCTCACTTCACAGTTAATATTGCACAATACATCCCTCCAAAATCTTGGTCCCTCGAGTTCCTTCTGCAGAAACATAAAAGAAAGGTAAAATCACAAGGGAATTATAAAGGACACTACGTGCTACACAAAGAAATCAAGCAACATGGCACGTAACAAGTAAAATATAAAAAAAACATTACTCCTTACCCATAAACCATGTTTGGAATAAGATCAAGACGGCTGGTGTCCGATTCAGCAATTGGATCAAATTGCTCCTACAGCACAAGAGTTTCCTCAAATCAAGACAATTATCAACAAATAACATAACAGACCTAGGAACAATACAGCAGTCAAAAAAGTTATTTAGCATCATCCAAATAACTGATGAAATACAAAAAGAGAGAAGAAATTGGAGATGGTTTATTCTGGTATATTATACGTTTGGAATAATTGAAGGCATATGACAGACTCAAGAAGTAAGCATGCTTCGAGTACAAGTAGTCAGATACAATTACAAAAAATGAGTTTCTGGGCCAAGTGAACCAAGCCTTTAAAAGTGTACCTTATGGTTCTCTTTGACGCTGAAATGAATAATTTCAGTCAAAAGAGTCCATTATCAAAGGGTTCTCTTTGATTCTGAAATGATATAAACAAGAAGATTGAAAGATAAGCACACAAACCGGAGTAAGCCCAGCTAAGTGATGTACCTCCAGAATTGGAGTTGGAGGTAAAAGCCCCAGCAAAGCTATTGAGTCCCCTAAGCTGATCATCTTGCATTGGCTTAATTTGTACAAGTTTATTGCTGAAAGCCGTCTGTAAGTAGAGGTTTATTTTTGTCTTCCTTAATCTAAAGTCTAGTGTTTGTCAGGTGTTCACAATTATTTATGTTCAAGTCCTCTTAGTCGCTTAAGGACATTTAGAGTCTTTAACTGATAAGAGAAATATCTAATATGGGCTTATCTCTATATACAGTTCTCCTATCCATCTCCATAAATAGCTATTATCCTATCAGAAGGTATGAGCAGTCATTCTACTTTTTCACGAAATAGTCAATTTTCCCAGCTCTCTTGAGTCAATATAAACCCTAGAAAACCCATGGTTGTGTTCCCCTTTAAGCCACTCTGTTCCTGCTCATATCCACATTCTACGCAATTAGCTGCTGTGTTCCCTATTTCCTGCACCAACCAGAAGCCAAACCTCATAGGAAATACTTGCTTGTTGTGACCGAGAATATAAAGGTTAGGTTGATACCAAAATACCTTAAAAATAACGATCAACCCAAGGTACCTGAAATCATTTGTTCCCCCAAATGCCCATCTCAAATGTAAATGAGATCAAGTAGATGGCATACATCATACAGCGTTTATCTCAACAGTTGTAATCATCTCATAAAATAAAGGAATCTGAATCTTTATGCCACTATTATTCTATTGCCCTATCTAAGCATGTCCCTAGGATTTTTATAGACATTTACACAACCAAATTTATTTTCGACAATTTTGGGCCGTACTAAACAACTTTCTAGAACTATTGAATATTTTTTCGAGGCAGGCTTAACAAAT